ACAACGATCTCAGGCACAAAGCATTCCCCAATGCATAACACACATCATAGATATCCCGATTATTAACGGCCTACAAACCCCCGCCGGTCTTATGATGTAACCAGGCATCGTCCCGCTACGTCGGCGACGGCAACGTCTGGGATCGAACACCTCCCAGCAAGCTGGGTACCAGACGGCATACCACTTAGGAGCATCGATCCGGCCTCCACCGCGATCGGCATCGTCTAGAACCCCTGCCTAGACGGCATCCGAACTCCAGTCGGACATCGTCTAGAACTCTCACCGAAACGGAATGTGTCGTGATCATGCACACACCTCAACAATCATTATCAATTCTTATCTTTGCGAATTAGCCGAATGCAAACCAAATCCGCACTCATCCAACAAAGTGTCACGCCTTTCGTATGTAACAATATCATAAGATAATCATCTGAGAGAGAGAAAACCAAGTACACATGAATCGGGGCAATTCTGGGCAGATGCACAGAAACCGAATACCTTTTGAAATAAATAGTAAAATAACTCCAAAAATTATGAATTTTTTATATGTCATAGAAAACATCTCGATAAACATTTCTTATGTAGAACACGAAACCCAGTTCAAACTTTAAACATGTCTTTTTGTCACTAGAAGTCAGACCGAAATCAGGTCACTTGAACAGACCACTCGGCCCTCAAAATGCATCTCATTTGGTACCCAAATCTCTTTAGAAAGCTTCGAAATTTTTATTTGTGATAGAAAGACATGTTCTTAACAATTTTTGTGAAGGAAGTTTATTGAAAAGAGATCTGGAAAAATTTATAAAAATTCAGAAAGACAAGAAGGTCAGTGAACAGAAGTCCAGGACAGTTTTACTCCGGTCTGAAGATGGATTTCCAAATGACTCCAAATGACCTCCAAAAATTCCAGATTTAAAATATGTCATACTTCAAGATGTGAGGAACAACTTTCATCAAGAACACCACTTCAGATTCGGCCCACCAAAATCTCCAAAAAAATAGTAAATCACAGAGGCACAGCAGTAATAAATCCGAGAATCAACCAACATGAACCATCAAGCAAACGAAGCTCATTCAACAACTAAGCCACCTATCAACAGCCCTTAATCAACCCCTACTTCATCCCTAAACAACCCCTAAACATGCCATTAGTAATCCATTATCCTAACCATGGTTTAGGGAGTCATTTACTAAGGGGCCTAAGCAAGAAACCGAGCAAGAAGGGTAGCACAAGTCACAGCCAAACAGCAACAGCTTCGTTGGAGCAACAGCAGTCTCGGTGGATGGTGAGCAAGGCGGATGGATGGCTGGAACGGTGGTGCCTCGGCTGGGGTGGTGTCATCCGAAAGAGAGAGGGAAAGAGGGAGATAGGGGATGGTGGTGGTGGCGTGAGGCGGCGAGGGCGGCGGTTCATGGCTGAGCAAGGGCTGGTCGGCAATGGTGGTGGTGAGCTTCGGCCGAAGAAGAGGAGAGTGAGGGAGAGAGTGAAGTGAACTTGATCAAATGGTAAGAGAGAGAGAAGAGTAAGAGGATGGTGTCTACTAACCTCACTCAAACCCTATCAACCACCCCACTATGATTCAATGGTCAAAATTCCTTATTCTTCTCCAAGCCAAGATCCTAGGGCTCACAATTAATCTCCCAAAATAATTCACCCAAATAACTAATGGCAAACAAATAAATAAACAAAGAGGATAGGGGCAAAGTGGTCAATGTAGTTCGGCCAAGAGGGGACAGCCATAAAGTCCAAATCGCCTTCAATGCAACAAATGAATTCAAAATATCTCAGGAGTAAAATGGTCTTTTCTAACTTCCGGTTCAAATTTCACTTTTTCGATAATTTCCGAGCAAACCAACAAATGGCCAAACTTAATGAGACGGCATCCAATAAATTAGTCGTGGAACCTTGAAAGTTCGATACCTAATTTCGGACTCTAATTCATGGCTAAAACTAATCAATCGTGACTTTAATGTATCACAAACCAACGGGCAGTTTTTAGGAGTTACGCGTATCGACCCGTGGTTGACTCAATTATCAAACCACATTTAAGTTTACTCAAACCATGATGACCTCGGTTGTTATGTAATTACGAGGTCAATCACTAGTTCCGATGGACACCATCGTTCAGAATAGGTTTAGGATCGTTTCAAATTCATACAATGGCCAAGCAAAATCACCCGTAATCTAATTGTACAATATTGACGAGTCTTTCCATAACCATCCTTGGATCGGCCTATAATGGCCCAAAATATTCCCTCGTCAATCCTCATGGTCGAGGTGCCAATCCATGGTCAAGTTCTTAGGTCCATATACTTAGTTCCTAGCTAGCCATTCTCTAACGGTTAGTCTTCTTAAGAGTGATCAATTCCGAGTGAGATTTAAGTAAAAGTGCATCGAAAATATATTCATTTCATGAATCTTGAAATTCGGTCAAATTTCAAAATGTCACATGGATTCTACGAGGCTACATGACAACCGAGGGTCGACCATGGGTCGTTGATACTAGAACGTGGACTGATTGCGAATCGGCCGCGGATCGTTGCGTCAAGTCGAGTAGGTCATGGACGAGATATGTGCCATGCCACGAGTCTAATGGTTTGGCCGCGGACCAGGCTATGTGCCAATTGCGCCGGCCCGGACATGACCGACCATTATGCCCGTTAACCAAGCCACGGACTGGCTATGTGTCCGGCTGTGTGCCAGTCATTATATCTGACCCTTGTATCAGGCGTTGTGCCCATCAGATCAGGTTCCGACCTAGTTTTGTGCCCAAGAGACTTGGCCATGAGCCATACATTATGCCCATACGTGAGCCAATGTATGTGTTTGGCCCATGAGCTGACCCCTTACTCGTACAACCTAGTATTGTGCTCGGCATATTACTCGTGCAGCTCGGCATGGTGCTTGTATGGCTCGGCCATGTACCCGGCCCTGTACCTGTATAGCTCGGCCGTGTGCCCAAGTGGCCTGGCAGTGCGCCAGGCCTTGTACCCAGTCAGACCCGGTTGCACAGGCCACACGCTTAGTCAGCCCAATTGGTATGAACTTATTCCATTCAACTTGAACCTTGGCTTGGTTGTATTTGGTGATATTTGAGGTATTCCTACACCGAACCTCCGATTGAACGGGATTAATGAGCGTAATTTATTGCGGGAAAACCCTTGGAAAACAAGTTGAATGAATATGATGCGGGGTTAAGAGTTAAGTGTCGATTAGTCGGTTTTGTGTAGCCCGATTGATCCAAGTTATTTGTGAGTAGAACCAACAATTGTAGAGGACTAGAATTAGGCCTCACGCTTTAGAAGATGGGGGAGACTAGAAGACAAAATTGACCCAAGTCAAATCTTCATGCTCAAGCCACAATAATTAGAGCCAAGCTTAGGTGTCCCCTTCCATTAATGGTCACAAGCTGAGTTGTCCACCTTCATAATTGAAGCTTGGTGACTCATTTTCACCAATAATGAGCTAGAGACAAGAGAGTAAGTTGGCTAAGGAGAAGCCGAGAGGGGGAAGTCAGCCAAGAAGGAAACTGAGAGAGATAAAACGAGAGAAAGGAAGAAAGCCATTAATTGCTAAGATTTGCCAAGATCATTTCATCATTTCATTTTGGCCTTTCTTCATTAATGCCAAGATCCTTAAGATCAATATAATCTTGACATTAGACTTTAGGGGCACTTCATGATGACTGTCTTTTTTTCATAATAGCTTGGGGAGGACCACTATAAATAGGAGAGGTCCTACTTGAATTAGGAGGCCATGCACCAACCACCTCTCTCTTCTCCTTGTTCATGCCTAAGTGCTCACCGACCATCCCCTTTTCTCTCTCCTCCTTGTTCACGTGCTCGAGCCACACGCCTTTTGTTACTCACGTGTTCTAGTTTTAGTGTTTGAGTAAGTGAATTCTCTAATATCGGGAAAGGAAGATGAGACACGTTGTGACGTGATTTGCTTGGACCGTGTTCGGTCGTTTTGGTTGATTGCGGTTGCTTCTTTTCATGGCTTGCTTACGTTTCATATTTGCTATTCACGTTCACATCTCGAGATAGAAACCAGAACTTAGCTAGCGATGTTCACGTGTATGGCTATGCTTGAGGTTCTTTGGATAATTGTTTGCATGAATTTTGCTATTGATTTGCCATCGATACCGATGCAATAAGAATCGATTCATGTTAACGACGATCCCTTTATCCTCACTTGACATTAGTGAGTTCACTTATTGAGTCTCCTCGACTCATTCCCCGTTGTTTTCCCTTTTTCAGGTCCGTAGGATGGCATCACCCCCAACTCGTTTTGATAACCCCGTGGATATGCAAGTTGAGGTGCTCACAGTGATTGATGCCCATGAACGCCGCGCATACCGCCGGGTCACGACCCATGTTATGGTGGACGAGGGCCTCGAGAGCTTGGTCCCCCACACTTATGTGGCGTGGTATCGCTGGTCGAATGGAGACCTGATCGGCCCTCCGCGCGGGTTCAACTGCCCCTTTGCGGAAACGGCAGGCAGGCTCTGGGGTATGCTGCGGGTGGGGCATAGGATGGCCAGGCGGACGGGTCACAGGGAGGAGGCGAGCTAGTGAACGGAGTTTGAAGCGCGAGAAGATGAAGTAGTGCGGGGAGGATCACCTAAGCCGAAGTTTTGTTTGTCTATAGTCGGCTTGTGTGCGGAATAGTCTTTGGGATAGGCATGTAAAATATGTATGCCGTTTGCAAGGGCCCGAGAGACGGGCTTGTTAAAAATAAGCACGATCATGTAAATACAACGTGCGATGATTTGCTCTTGTTGTTCTTGTGATATTTCGTTTAGAATTGCTTTCGCTTGTGCATTTGAATAAAATGAACGGGACGTATTAACTCATTTCTGCAAGTCACGTGCTCGTTCGGATCATGGTCGGTCACTAAGCATCGATCGTGATTCCAGGCCGGGGCGTGACAACTCTTTAGCCCTAAAGTTTTTGAGAAGGTCCGCATCACCACATCCTACAGAAAATTTCTCATGAACATGGTAATTGACTTGGTGAAGACATCGGTCATCCTCTTTGCCACAATCCTCATTAATCGGGTTGGGCAGTGGCCATTGTCGATGAGTAGCATGGGTGGGGTGTTCTTCTCGCTCGTCTCCCTTGGGGTGTGCCTCGGCTTCATCGATCACAGCCACACGAAGCTCTCGTGGGCGGTAGACATGGTCACCTACTATTAATCTCCTTGTGAGTGTTTTGGGGAAAAATGTCCCGAAATTATGTTTCGGCCGTCTTTTTCAAATCAAAAGGCAACTCAAAGAGCCTGAGGTATCTAGATTATGTGGTATCAAGGTGGTATGGGATACCATTGCAGGCATGAGAATTCTTTGCTCGGAATTTTAGTTGCTAATCAAAAGATATGACAACAGGGAGGCTTGTATGCTTAGTAGACCACATTCCAAGGTGAAAAGCTAATTAGCAGTCAATGCGTGTGAATAGAGACACATTTTCTAGTGTCAAGATTATCAGTGTTGCTATTCGGAGACTCTCCTATTTTCGGCTCCATCATCTGAAAACTTCAAGCAGCATTTTTCCAATCACTATTCACATTAGGCCTTCCTCACAGCTTTATATGCTCATCTCACGTCTCATAGAAGACTGAGCTCGAGAGTCTAGGGCTAGGGCTAGTGCTGGTGGTGGCGGCGGCGGCATCTCCTGCGATTGGAACACAGCACCCCCAATGCATACACCGCCTTACGAAGTCGGCTGTAGGTTGAAATTTTAAAAAACAAGTTCGTCATTAAGTCATTAATTACCAATTAAAAGATGCTAAAGAAGGATTGTTGAGAGAAAGATACCTCCACAAACAATCTCCGTTCCAGCAAAGTGTCATACACCCCGGTGAAAGTCACCACAATATGTCGGGTGGCGGGGTTCATCTCTATAATGGTGATTGCAAACACATTGTGGACACATGGACTCATTGCATTGTACAAAGTGGCGATCCCCTCACGCCGATGACAACGTGATCATTGAAAGAGACTATATTCTCCTAATATTGTGGATATGATGATTGTTGGATTCATTTTGCTGGTATCGTACATGTTCATAAGGTGTGTGATCGGTTTTCTTAAAGTGTGGTATAAATGGTAAGTGAAAATGATGAATATGAACTTGGAAGTATCACCCCTGAAATTTCCGACTCAACTGTTGTTAGTAATATCCGCCTTCTATTGTCTGGCAAGATTCATTTTCTGTGTATGAGTTTGAGTATATTTACTTTTTGAAATCGAGAATATTTACGTTTTAGTAGATTTAATTTTTGAATCCAAATATATTTATTTTCTGAACCTGGATATATATACTTTATGAACCTGAGTAGATTTACTTTCTGAACCTAAATATATTTACCTTATGAACCTGAGTAGATTTACTTTTGGAACCTTGAATATATGTCCATTCTGAACGAGTAGTTTCACAGCTCCCAATTATACCCATAACTCACACAGTGTTTAGCCTCATAATTCCTCATGAAATAATCTCTCAAATGTGGTTGTAATCTTACCACAAGATTTATTGGTTTCAACACTTAATTGCTTCATGGTGTAATTCACAGGAAATCACCTCTTCAACACTTCTTATATATATAGACAGGAACATAATCCAAAATAGGAAATCTCTTTTAGAAACCTTCTCCAACTAGGAAATCTATTCTCTCTTGAGCTCAAACTCAAGACATATTTTCAACAGTCCGTCTCCTACTCCAAGAAGACTTCGTAGATAGATCTAGCCTCATAGTCTAAATTTTCAAGTTCCTACTCGTCTATAGGTTTGTGGGTGGGTTCATCATAGAGACTTTCATCTTCCATAAATATTCTCGGTAGATTTTCTTTTCACATATACTTTTATGGACGAGCATCCACCTTGTGGGTTTTCGATTCAGAAACCCAACAACAGTTAAAGCTGCTCATGGGTTTACCTTAAGGACAATGAGGTTCTCTTTCATGCTTTATTTTAAAAGCTTTGATTCTCTTCCACATCTACCCAGAACATATTCGATGCGAGAGCAACAACTCTTGTTCACAAAGGAAGCTTTTTGGCTAGTCCTTCACTTGGAGTTCAACGCATGCTTTTCTGATTAAAGGTGAGCGGTTCTAGGTTCTGTACAAGTTCTACCTAGAACCTAAAATCTATTCATAGAAATAAGTTCTTCATTTTTTGGAACTTGAAACCTACCTACGTACCTTAGAACCTGGAACCTACACTATCACAAGTTCCAGGGTTTACTCAAGTTCCACTTATATTATTAATTGAACAATATCATCACCTTTGATGACCACCACTTATTGATTGACTATAATTTATATTTAGACATACGAAGAATATGAAATATTAATAAGTCATAAAATGAAAGCTCAGACTAATGATTTCATATTATACACTTATCATCTAACGTTATGGAATACTGTAGGATCATGTGAAGACATAGACCAAGAAAAAAAATAAAAGAAGCTTATTTAATGTTTTAGGTTCCAGGTTCTACCTACATAGAACCTAGAACCTATCCTGCATACTTTAAAACTTAGAACCTACAAGTTTCCATCAATCAGGCTCTCAGGTTTCAGATTCTAACCTATAACCATACTCACCCCTACTTTTGATGGCACACTTTACCACCTAAAACCATCTAGGATCTTCGCTTCTTGAATGAGCATATCTTAAGCCTTCTTGGTGACCTCTAGCCATGGCTCCGGAAGTTTAGCAAAGAAAGGCTTTGATAGTAACTGATGAGCAACTCTATATACGTTATAAAAATGTTTGATGAAATTCACAAGTATAGTTGTCGAAATAGCGCATATCATAAAATTTGTAATTTCATTGGCGCATTTAAGGACCTGTTTGGCAAGTTGCCAAACAGTGAAAATTTCTGTTCTTTTGTTTCTAGAATCGGTTTGGAAACAGAAATCCGTTTGTTTAATTTTTTGTTCCCGAGCATAAATTTGTAAAAAATTGTTCTCAGAATTAGTTTTGGAACAGAATCAAGAAGCAAACAAAAGTAGCTTCTTGATTTTGAGAACAAATTTTCAATTTCTGATTCTTCTTGGTTTTCTTCTTCCTTCTTGGTTTGTTCTTCTTCTTCTTCCCGGCTGCCGTCGACCCGGTCGCGCCGATCGACCACAAAGCCGGGCCGCGAGGGCATCGCGACCCTCGTTTCCTAGGCGAGGGCAGCTTGCGGCCATGACGGCGAGGCCTCGCCCAGACATGGCGAGGCCGACCTCGCCGTCGCGACCCAAGTGAGGGAGATGGGTTACAACACCCTCGCCGGCCCTGGCCTGTGGCCGGTCGCCGGCGTTGGCGATCGGCCATGGCCAAGGAAGGGAAGGGAAAGAAAGAAAAAGAAAGAAAAAAAAAGAAAGAAATATTAAAAATTTCAAAATATTACTAAAATATCATTAATATAAAGAAATTTTGTGTAGTTACTAAACGCATTTCTGTTCTTTTTCTATTCTAAGAATATAAATTTTGGACAGTTACCAAACGTCTTCAAATGCTTAGAAATTGTTCCCGAGTATGGAATAAAAAAGAATCATTTCTTAGCAGAATTAGTTCCCGGGCGCAGAATCAGTTCCCGGGCACATAATCGTTGCCATGCGCACCCTAAAAGATTGCATTCTTTTTACTATTTCCGTAGAATGTGAGAAATCAAGGAATTCTCTCTTTAGAATATTTGCTACAATGACCAAAATCCCATCTATAGTAAGCTCTTCGTCTATCTATTTTTTTTTAGACGATGTCCACCTTATTTATTAGGTCGATTCTTCGTCTTCCCCAATCAATACTAAACCTATAATATAAATGTCATTTTAGTAATAAATTTTTCAATTTTTTCAATTTAATATTAAATCTTTGCGCGAAATTCTAATATAGTCATTTCAGTCAATTTTCGCTTGGAAGTTGCAGTCCATTTATCGCCGGCCATCTTGCGTGGCACATCATCACATTAGTGATTATGACAAAAATTGACCAGAAGGACTATATTGGAATTTCACGCAAAGGTTGAGATGTAAAGTAGCAAAATTAGAAAGTTTAAGATAAAACTGGCATCCGTACAATAAGTCTAGGATTGATTGGATAATTTCCCTTATTAAGAAGTGCATCGAGACCAACTACGGGCCTTAATGGATTATCCTCCGGAGCAAACCGATTTTGTTCCACATGGATAATCCAACTTATATAAAGCCTTATTCGTTGTTAAAAGCTCATTAAATGATCTAATCCTCAATATGTATCGGAGCTTTTTCAGCCAAACCCTAGAGATTGCCTAAGATCCTGGGCTAACTTACTAGTTTCGCCACCATTAAGATTTTGGCTCTTGCCTCACGAGAGACTTGAGTTGAAGCTTGTCGCCCAAGGCTTCTTTACATTCTTCTCCTTTTCAATAACATCAAGCTTTTCATCGACCGATAAGGCCATCTCTCTTGCAAAGCATCTATACCTTCTTTTATATCCCCAGTCATTTTCTCGAGCAAAAAAATTTGTCGGGAGAGTTTTTCCTCCATAAGATAATCCATTATACTCGAATATTTGAAGCTGTGAAGGGCCCAAAAAACTAGAGTTAATATCATGAAAAATCTCAAATTGATTCTCATGAGTATTCATCTTGAACTAATTCTCGCCTCACGAAAAATTTCAAATCGGTACCCCATACCAAAATCTTTCCTCCATTTAACTGCATACGTGTCAAAATACTTGGATTTTGTACGTCGGATTTGTCATTATTCACATAAGATCCGTCATGCAATCATTTGATAAGTGTGTTAACACGAGAAAAAGTATAAAAAAAGTCATAATCAAGTATTAATTCAGTTCTAAACTTTTCAATTATACTAATTTAGTCATAAATCTTTTCAATTGGTACCAATTCAATTTGTTCAGCCAATTTAAGCTAGAAATCACTCACGTGAACGCCGGCCGTCTTATGTGGCCAGCAAGCAGCAGACACTAACGTAGACATTTTTAATAATATTTTAATAAAATTTGAATTTTTTCCTTCTCTTCCCTTTGCCTTGCGGCCGGTACTTGGCCATGACTGGCGATCGGCTACAGGTGCGGGCCGACGAGGGTGGTCCTTGCTTAGGCCGTGAGTAGACATGGCCACGGGCCGGTTTCGGCCCGGAACAGGCCCGGTCAAACCCGGGCCAGGCCCATTGATCGGGCCCGCGGTTCCGAACCGGAACCGGTCCGTGGCCTACAAGCCCTGTTCCAAATTATTTAAAAAAAAAAATTTATTTTTTTAATTTTTTTTATAAAACAATTTGAACTCTAATTGCCATGCATTGTAAGTGCAATAATCTCTAATTACAATGCTTGGCTTGGGTCTATTGAACTCTAATTACAAGGCTTGACTTGGATTTTATACACAATGATTCTAATGCCTCTTCGTTCCCATTCGATGTGGGACTCTCGTCTTGCCTTGAACACCTTCAATGTGAGACTCTTGGCTTGTCTTCATGCAAATGCCAAGAGTCCCACATCGAATGGGAATGAAAAGACCGTTAAAGGGGTTGTGTATAAAATCCAAGCCAAACTATGAGCATGTGAAGTTGTATGCCTTTTGTGCTACGATCCTTTGCTAGTTAAGAGCAAAGGGTTCCATTGGACCGCCTAGAACCGGACCAATAGTCCAATTTCCGGTTCTATGATTTGCCGGTCCGGTTCCTAGTTCTAAAATTAAGGGACCGGTCTTACCGGTTCGGTTCCCGGTTCCGAGCGGAATCGAACCGAACCGGGAACCGATCATCCCTACAATTTACATTTTGACTACAACTTATATTGAATAATTCATTATTTCATAATTTTATAATTCATAATTTTTATTGAATAATTTATTTTTTTAATTTTTAAATTACGAACCGGAACAGTTCCGAACCGGAACCGGCTGGTTCCGAACCGTGGCTATGTCTAGCCGTGAGGGTTGAGCCTTCTTTAGGGAGGGCGACTTTCACTTGTGGCCTTGTGGTATGCCCTCGCCTGTGGCTGGTTGCTGGCCATGGCTGAGTACCAGCCACAGACAAAGGGAATAGAAGGAAAAAAAGAAAAAAAGGGAAATGGTTTTGAAAAATTATTAAAAAATTAAAAATATTATTAAAAATATTCGCGTCAGCACTAGCTGTTCGCTAGTTGTCTGCTGGCTATATCTTGTAGGAAGGCCAACGTTTACGTCAACGATTTTTAGTCTAAATTGGCTGGATCGACTGAATTGGTACCAATGGAAAAAAGGTTTATGATTAAATTGGTTCAATTAAAAAGTTTATGACTTAATTGGTAACAATGCAATATGTTTAAGACTTTTTCGCTACTTTTCTCGTTAACACGTGTGCATTTCAATGAGATATTGGACGAAATGCGGCTCGGGGTTATTTGGTTTTGCCTTTTCACACGAAAGTTAGTTTGGGTGAAATGCCTCGTGGAATAACAGTTTGAGATTTTTTTGTGAGGTGAAAATTAATTTGGGATAAATGTACCGGTACGATAATTTTTTTAAAGCATTAATAAAAAGAAGAAATGAAAAAGAAAAAAAATCAACTGTTTTGACCGGAACCATATTCATTCCGATGGCTCGAATCCGATCCGCGTTCAAGTGGCGCTATAATTGTTGGTACCTCCTAGGAATTTATACTGCCTGCGAAGCTCGAATTTGCGCTCCGCTCGCTTTCGCTCCGAGCTCGCACCTTACGCATTTCTCTCTCTCTCTCTCTCTCTCTCTCTGTTGTGGACGGCGTCGTTGGCCGGAGCTCCGATCAGCGGCCGACGATCCTGGTCACCAACGACGACGGCATCGACGCTCCCGGCTTGCGCGCCCTGGTTCGCGCCCTCGTCTCCGCCGGCAGATACCACGTCCGTGTCTGCGCTCCCGATTCGTAAGTTTTCAGTGATCGCACGGGGCTTTGACCTGTGCGTCTCGAATAGGTAGTGCGTGAAGGTCCTCCTGTTCGATTTAAGCTGTGAGTTGTGTGTGTGTGTGTGTGTGTGTGTGAGAGAGAGAGAGAGAGAGAGAGAGAGAGAGAGAGAGAGAGAGAGCCAACCTACTCTCAGTGAATGCGTCTTCACTGTTGGGTAATTTGGTGAGGACCTAAGGTAATCTACAAATGGTCAAAGTTAGTTTCTCTAAAGTCTTGATTTTGAAACTTTGGTAGTTGTTTGTTTCTGATGAAAGATTCTCTTTCGCTCTGTCAATGCATGTATTGGGTCCTAGTGTTTTTTTATTTTTTTGGAACAGAGATCCTAGTTGACATACTGGTTAAAATGTAGAGCAGCCCATTTTTCATTCATTGGATGGTAGAGGGGTGTTGGGGTTGGGGGATGGTGTTGTTAATTTTTCGGAATATGCATTCCTTTGCTTGCAAGCTTCCTAACCCCACAGGAAATTCTTTTTATTGGCATGATGTCTATTCTTCATTTGCAGTCCCTTTGAAATTCAAATGATTCATGGATTTAATGGAATGGAATGCTTTTCTCATCCGGAGTTGCACTGTTGGCAGGGAAAAGTCTGCTGTCAGTCATAGCATCACATGGCGTCATCCTATAGCTGTTAAGCGAGTAGATATTGATGGGGCTGAAGCCTTTGCAGTCTCTGGTTGGATACCATCACCATTCAGTGGATATTTAATTTCTAAATTTTCTTATTGTCTTGTTCTAGCCTCTATCCCTTGACCTATGTTATTGGGTGGAACAGCATTTCCACTTTTGGTGATTTTCTAATATTCTTAAGACGCTTGAGGAACTTACAGAAACAGAGGAAAAGAAAAGAGAACATCACTTGTGAACTGGATGTCCATACGGTCATACTTAAGTCAACACCAGACTGTCTTTTATCTCAAAAGATTGGTCAGGGTCTGGCAGATAATCCACTTTTGAATCCTCTTCTGGAATTGTTTGCCACCCACGATGAAACTCTCTAAAGCCAAGATAGTTTTGTATTAAACTCTTAACATTATTTGTCATTTTGAAGGTGACTCTTGAAAATGGCAATGGAAGATATATTGTGTGAACTGACCTCTGATTATAGAGATATATATCTTGCAGTCCAAATGGACCATTCCATCTACCTGAATGTCGGTATAATAGAAGCTTTTTATACCTTTCTTCGGGAGGAACCTATCATCTTTTCATCATTGTTTTCCTCCTCAAAAATCGTGTCTAAATTTTTGGGCTGAGTTGCATTGCAGAAGGAAGGAATATAGACGAGACTAGAAGATCTATACCTCTTTATCAGGATGTTATCTAAACTTTCTAGAATTTGTTCTCATAGTTAAAATTGCCTTTTCTGTTGAAGTGTCCTTTTGGTTCTTCAATGACCATTGAAATATTTATTTTTCTTCCTTTTCTTTTATGAGTTGCTAACCGTAACTTCTTTGTCTAGTTAATTTTTTGGGCTAATCATGAGCCGACTAATTGCTCTCCATATGCTAAAGCACATGCATTGGGATTTGCCACAATCATCAAGCAGGATATTGGTTTTATCATGACAGTGTAAAGAAGTGCTGTGCTTTGTTATCTTAGCCAATTCACATCTCTCATGTTCTTTGCAGGAACTCCAGCAGATTGTACTTCTTTGGGAATCTCTAATGCAATCTTTTCTTCGGTTCCTGACCTGGTATATCTGGCTTCTGGGCAATCAACAGAATAGATGATTGTCATCTTTTGAGGATTTGTTTGGAGACACAAACCGTTTGCTCTCCTTCTGTCACCCCGTTATTTTCAAAGTGTCAAAGTCCAACTCTTCTATGCTAGGACAATGCAATAGCTAGCTATGAGCCCTCTATGGGACTTTATCTATGTTAGTCTGTCAGAACATTTTACACGTGTTAATTCAAAATGTGCGGAGCCCTTCTTTCTGTCCTTTCTGTGCAGTTTTATTCCTATATACAGGTAGAGTTTTTGCTTTCTGATTTCTTAACCACTTCTTACATGCACAGGTACTCAGTGGTATTAACAAGGGCAGCAACTGTGGTTATCACACGTCAGTAAACCATTTCCTTTGGTCTATTCATGGAGTATGCTTTCCATATTTTTTGGTATCTCAACTGCGTATAGAGCCTCAAAATCCACTAAATACTCAATCAGCCACCAATATTTAAAATTATTTTATTTCATATTAGATCTCTCCCACATCCCTTGTTTTGGAAAAATTGTGTGACACTCTTCGTATTTTAAACACTGTAGGAACACTCCTCGTTAAGAGCTGTTGGATCCACCAAATAAATTCCATGTGCTTAGATAACTTTAATTTGCATTTTTGTACAAGTAGACTGAAAAGATGATTGCCAAGGCATCTATTTGCCTGGAACAATAAAAATGCACATGAAGTCGCACTGTTTATGGATTTGGTGGAATGGTTTTGCAAAAGCACAGGTGGTGCTCCCACAAGTTGGTCAAAATAGGGGAGTTGGAGCAATTTACTCTCTGTATATTGGGGAACACAAATTTAGACTTAAACATTTTTACTTTTCCATAAGAAGAAAATTCATCCGCTTGATATGTCCATTGAATATATAGTTTTTACAATAAATGGCGGAAAGTTCAAGTGAGCATGTTTAGATTTCTTGTCACAGTAGATTAATGAGGGATCTTGACTTATAAGTGGTTATACTTTCGTTGTACCTTGTCTTGGGTGGGAGGCGGAAGAAAAGACTCTTTTCAATGTGGACCTATTCAGTTTAAGTCAGACATTTTTATTGTTGTTTTTGTTTCCTCATGCTAAGTCTGACATTTTATCATTAGATTGTGACCAGTTCAGGCGTACATTAAAACTCAAGAAAATTATTCTTAAAGTAAAGGAAAGCTATTACAATTTTGATTTGAGTTTCAAAATAGATGCAAGCATAGTATTAAATCTGCTGTACTGTGACTTCTGTGATTTTGTAGCTAGTGCCTTTGTAGTCACGATGTAATACCGTGTAATATGCTATTGCCTGCTGACATAAATGTATACCTACTTGTTACATTACAGAGTTTACTCTGGAACTGTAGCTGGCGCTCGTGAGGCCTTCTTTAATGGTGTTCCTTCTGTCTCAATGTCATATGACTGGTATGGGCCACTAACCATTCTCCACATGCTATGTTACTCAATTGACAGCTTGGTTCATAGAGAAAACCCAAGACTTTGTTATAATCCTTTCTCATGGCAGTCTCAATTTCTTCCTTATGACTAGCTTAGCGATTTACATTTTTCAATAATCTCTTGTTGGCCATTGAGATATTCATCTTGTTTATAATACAATGAAAATAGTTCTTCCTGCTGATTAATTTTTAGCTTTGCAAGTTCTTGATGTTTTGCACATCTACTGCTAACCACATTTTTCTTCTTGCCACATGAGCTGCATTAAGATGAAATGTTTTGCAAGCATAAACTGGTATTCAAATCTTTAAATTTTATCTATAAAGAGAAGTCGAGTATAGCTGCGTTGTATTGGAAATTTACCTCATCTTTACTGGGCGTCGATCATGGGCTTAGTTTCAAATATTGTTCTGCTAATATTTCCTCTCTAGCATGTAGTTAGCAACCTCCACCTCCCATCCTAATGTCTGTTAGCATGACCAGCATGAGCATGCAATCTTCCATCCTCTCTCTCACTTACCTGTGTCCTTGCATGTCAAAGCTCATGCTAGAATGTGTACTAGAGATTATGAGAGGCTGCTTTATTCGATTGGTTAAACTGGGCCACAAACCATTCCAAGCCTGTTCAACCCTTAAGAGGAGGCATGGCTAGAATCCATTTGACTTAGCCGAATCATGTTATCTAGATGAACCAGTTGAATTGGTTTAGAGTATGTTTATCGAAAAAAAGAAATAACAATCAGAAACAAAATAAAAAGAAAAAATTGATATATAAAGGTAAAATCTACACTTGCAAATTGAGAAAGTGACATCTTATAAGTTCGTTACAAGCTTAAGTAACAATTCAGTCAAATTTATACTAGTTTCCAGTTATTCATGTTATACAATGATCAAGTAGGAGAAATAGTCACTTCTGATTCATTTCCTTGTTTTTTTCACCCTCATTTATGTTTACTTACATTTGATTTTGTGAAATAGGAGTATGTGGCTGACATCTGTAGGGTTGGACCGGTGTCCAACTTGTAACATCGACCTGTCTATGTCTTGGTTCTCTAACCGAGCCGAACTTTAAAGACTCATAATATGAATGAATGTGTATGCACCAATCTGCCATATAAGTTCAGTCTCCAGCAATCTACTATGATGACCTTGTTGAACAAATGTGAATTGCCAAGATGGTTTTCTACGCACACTTTGAAAATGTCTCCAGTTCACTTGAATATATCATGTTTCCAGCATGAGGTTCTCCTGGTTTGGAGTTTGGACCCAACATATCAAATTAAAAAATAGGATGCGGTCCAAATTTTTAAAGGATTGTACCAAAGACACTGCAGGAAACATATTGCTAAGATTTTGACCAAGGGTACTGTTGGAATACTCTAATATTCATTTATAGATGTCATCAAAATGTTTTATTGTGATTGATTTCTAATCGCTAGGTAGGAAGTGCACATTTGTGCATAATATGGGGACAACCTTTCATATAACCACCACAGAGTTGTTATCTCCAAAACTTACCCTTGTTGCTTAGGCCTGATTTCAGCATTGCCTTTCAGGGTTGGAGGTAAAAGCAAGGTTGATGACTACACACTTGCTGCTGAGGCTTGTCTACCTATAATTGGTGCAATACTCGATAGGATCAGAAACCACAGTTATCCAAATGGTTGTTTCCTGAATGTAGATCTACCAACAGATATTGCAAACCACAAGGTAAATTTCACAAATCGCTCTTTGAAAGGCAGGTAATATGGCATAGTTAGGTTAATAATCTAGACAGTCACTACCACTACAAACATATGTATATATTTCACGTAGGTGTCTCCTCAAGGCATACTTTCAACATCTCCTATTTGCCATTGGCGATGTACCTTTCATACACTGAAGTGTTTTCTGACCAAAAAAAAAAAAAAACACTGAAGTGTTTGTTGGTCCCTGATAAAGAGAGCTTTATTTGGTCGAAGTTTTTTTGTTTTCACACAGACGTGCACGTGAATCCATCCACATGCATTCCGATCTCTTCCCTCTTTACTGTTCATAATTTCAGCTTGTCAGACTCCCTTGTCCGTTTGGTATATCCTGTATTTTAGTTATTTGGGGGAATCCTAGAACATAAATACTGAGGGAACTGGTCTCAGTTTAGATGAAGATGCTATTGCTCATTTATAACTTGAAATTTAGGGATCAGATTGCAAAGTAATTGATTCTAACTGTTTGGATAATTTGATAACCAGAGATTTTTTAGAGTGGACAGACAGGTCAAGCTGTCTTATGACATGTGCTTTACTGGAATCAGTTGAAGCACCTCAGAGTCTTCACAAGCCAATTTTGACCTGTTCTTTTTAGGGCATTACTATTACTATTGATTATGGGATGATTCCTGCCGTATTCAAATGATCATGTGCTGTTATACTTCGCCACTTTCTTAGGCTGTGACCAGATTGAACTCTTATAGATGTACCAGTGGAAGGGTTGTGATATGTGTTCCTCCAAAAGTGCCCTCACCTTTTCATTTTTTGCGTCTCTTCTAACCAGCTGTTAGAGCCTCATGCCAGCACTCCTTGGGGAGAGCATGGATAATTGATTAGCTTAACAAGGATTACAAATCAGCCTGTTGAAATCCAACCTCCTTGACTGACATGGGATGTAGTCATTTTCATTTCATGAGATTTCAGATGAATGACCTTATAATACCCAATGAGCTCTAAAGCATGTCATCCATGAATACTGAGTAGAGAATGCTTGCAACTTTACATCTATTGGAATCTGGAACTTTTTCTTTGTGACTTTGACCATTGTTGGAATTTGAAACTTGATGTTGGGGGCCTAACTATCTATAGAGCAACTACTCTGGAATATCTAACTGGAGTTTTGTTGCAGTCGGGAGGATGTAATGATGTTTTACTAGTTCTTTTATTTCCTTGAAAGGGCTATAAGCTGACCGAGCAGGGTAGAAGTTTTTTCGTGATGGGATGGAGACTGGTGTCCTCAGAAACACAAGGTGGACAAATGTTATCAACAATGACTATGGATAAAGATGTAGCAGAATTGCCTGATATGGATGCATCAACTATTTCAGCAGAACATCGTATGTTCAAGAGAGAAGTGGGTTTCCTTTTCAATCTGTCCTGTTGAGTCCTAGTTATTGTATCTTCCACTAGTTGTGGTTAATGATTTCTCACTGAATCCTGTCCTTTTATGTGTTTGATTATATAATTCTCAGCTTGCTTCTTGGAGAAACTTTTGTTGTCAAAAAACTGTTCTCGCACTTGTCATTTTGATCTTTGACAGCGACTCCACATTGCAAAGTTAAATGCATTCTGATTAACTAAATTTTCCACCAGTCTCCAAAAGGTTCTAGCTTTTTCATGAACTGAAATTTATCATGCAAAGCTTGTCATGCACAGAATATAGGGGCTCTTCTAATTAGCTGCATATATTTTATCAGCAGGAAAATTGGGGAAAAAATATGGTAGTATTTAGGGGATTGCATTATCAAGATGTCTGAAACATTTTCCTCTAAGAAGATATGCCATCAAAGTTCCTGCTTTTAATGTTTCTCGAAATGATATTGAGGAGCGAAATTATGGGGTTTTTTGTGATTGAGCGTGATTGTAGATTGTTTCTCTCTTCTAACTATAATTTGAACATTATTAGGTAAGGAAATCTCAAGTTGATGACAGCGATATGGAACACCATTCTCTTCAAGAAGGATATGTATGTGTTTCTGCTAATGTATTGGCATAATTAATATGAGTTGATGCCAAAGGTGTAACTTACTACACTTCGTTTATTTTCAGATTACCGTCACTCCTCTGGGTGGCCTTTCTCCTTCTGAGAAAGAATTTCAGGCCTTCTTTAAAGATTGGCTGCCTAGTTTGTCTGAACGCCCCTGTTCATCAGCCTTATAGTTCTCCAATTTCCATGTGAGTTGCTATGTTACTAATTATATGCGAGTTGGAAGCATCAGCTTTCGAATAGGGGCAAAAAACTTTAATCTTAACTAGTAAAGTTAATTTCAACCAAAAAAAGAAAAAACTCTTTAAGTTTATATTCAATTGGAAGTGATTTTGAATTTTTCTATATTGATAAACCTGATAGAGCGTCTCTGCTGTCTTTGTAATCTATGTCATACAATAATCTGTGAATTGTCATCGCTAGTTAATTATTAGTACAAACACTATAGCTGCAATGGCGGACCTTTAGGTCCAAAAAATTCTTATATTTTTATGTTAATGTATTTTTGGAAAAAAGTTTACATTTATGGTATTTAACTAGTAATTTTTGCCTTGTCCCCCTACCCTCAATTTCCCGGTCTGCGATTTTGTACCTGTGTAATGAGAATGAATATAACAGAGGGTACTTTATATTCTGATGCCCTCTTTTTTGTTTCGGCAGATATTGCTGATTTTCTCCTAGAAGTAAATTATATTCCTAAAAATGGATTGTTGCCGATAGGTTCGGTGGTTTCCATTGAAAGCATCCTGAAGCTCTGTAATCATCTTATGCTGCTTCATCTCGTTATCATCCCTTGTATACTGAGGGATTCTGAGGGTGCAATTAGTTTCTGGGAGAACAATAATCAAGAATGTCTGCCTAAAATGTTATTCAGAGCACTATCATTATGCAACCATATGATGTGTGTGGATGATACTCATCAGTGTAACGGCTACCTTTTTATTTGGAATAATGTAATAGCTACCATTCCCCAAAATTGACTCATCTTATGTGGTTGCTTCTCCAACTTTTGCCTGTGAAATGGGATTGGCCGCTTTAACGCCTCAGTAATCACCTCGAATCACGATGCTAATTCTGCTATTCTTCATGGTTGGCCCATCTACATCACATACACAGAAGTGCTTATTCCACTTAAACTGCATGCTCTTGTATATATAATCGATTGCTGAAGCACATGTTAGTGAGGATAGAACATCTCTTTCATCTTTTCCCGTATAGATTATCCACTTAAACTGCATGCACTGTGATATAACTTTCCTAACCGAGCAAGTTCACGATGAGAAGCTTCATTCCTTAACTTGAGAAAAGGAACCGGTACATAATGGATTGTGACAATCATAACTATTGATTGTGCGAGTTCTGTAGAAATCCGTTGTCTGTGATTGCATTTGATCCATGGATCCTGGTATAGGGCAAGAACCTCCCCCAAACTAGTTAGCAACTTATGAAGCCTTTTCACCTTCTTTAATTGCACCAGCTATTGCAAAGACTAGTAGGCCGCCCGGTTTACTGTCGGATGGTTGTGGTAATGCAAGATCGTGATAGTACTCAGGAGACATGCGGTATAACGTTCATCTTATCGAATTGTGCTACCATAGTTTTTTGAACTCGTATAAAGCACAAAATTTGCACGATCGTCCCAAATTATGCAACTACTTTACAATCTGTCATGCCAATTATTTTCTTCTATTAGTTTTATCTCGTGGCACTTGTCTGTGTTAATCTTACTTTAGAGTTCTTAAATTGCTTTCCGGAGCCATAGTCAAAAGTGAAATCACTGTTGAGATTATGAATGATTGTGTGAAAAGCATAGAAACCGCGTCTAGTTGTCCCCTGCATTAGCTTCCCTTCAGTTCTCCCCACTTTAATATGTGTGTGTGTGTGAGAGAGAGAGAGAGAGAGAGAGAGACTAACTGCCACCTTCAACTTCGACTGCTGATGCAGACAAAACAGCAATCTCCACCCTCCCTTAAATTAGTTTCAAGTAGATCTTCACATTGGTTGCATAGCTTGAAGCTCAATTGAAAAGGAAAGGGAAAGTTGAGAACTTGAAGATCAAGGGATGGGAAAGAAAGGGCAAAAGAAGAAAGAAAATATAAGAAATTATAAATATTATATGTGCATGATGTAATTAATCTCTTGAACAACTCCCAGAGCTGCTGTTGCCTTCTTCTTCAGCCTTCTGATGGTAGTGCCGAATGTGACTCTACAAGGATGGACCAGAGGACGTGAACGTCCTCGTACGGGCACGATTTAACGTCATCGTACAGAATGTATATCCCTCCTCTCCCTGGGAAATATAAGATCGAAACAAGTGCTTGGAATTAGTCACCATCTGTTTTTTTTTTTTTTATAGAAAAATGTTCAAATCAGGGAGGACATATGCAGAGCTAATAGTAAAAACTGGTCTGAAATGGGGCATGGTTACGTGCGCGCAGGTGTGCGCACGTGTCCATGGGGAAATTGATTCCCGTAACATGCTTTCAGCGACGAGATGGTTTATACTAGCAAGCAAGCGCTCTGAAGTTCGCATTGTTTCCTGATAGGGAGTTTATGGTGCAACTAGAGATTGGAAGAAAAGAAGGATACACCAAGTTGAAAAAGATTTTAAAATGAGCATGATATATTAGCATTGATGAATTTTGAGTTATGAGACATGCAGTTGCAGAAAATGTGCTGAATCTTGGTTTCAAACAAAAATCGCAGATGCAAGATAGGCTATAAATGAGAGAATGAACAGAAAACTGCATACGAATGTAGATTAAGCTTTATCGAATTGCTGGACGTACTCTTCTTTGTGGCAGAATGCAGACGCGACCATAGCTTCTTCAACGGAGTGAGGAGGGACCGATACCACCTCATCTGGAGCTGCATTCACGGCCGCTCATGTAAACGAGGCAGCAACCGAGGAGGGAAAACAAAGGGTGTTGAGAGCCAAGATAGGTTGTGGGTTTGCTCAGGCAATTTAAACATTCCATTGCAGGGCTAGTTTATGCACACCAGATTTGATCTTTGGTGAGATGTCACTGTCCAAAAAGAGAAGCCACCCCCCACAAATATATTTTAAAACTTATTTTCCACTTTCAGTGCAAGTCACAAGACATGCCTTGCTTTTCAAGCCTTACCGTAAGTTCTTCTTTTATCCTCTTTTGGCAAATACAAGAGCGCCACTAGGTCTACTCATTCTTTACCAGTTCTGGATCACCCCTTGTCTTCTAAGAAAGTACCAAGTTTCGTTCGAACACAGCGAAGTCCTCTACAAGACTCTGCCTCCCATACGTCCATCTGTCCCTTGTAGTGCCTTTAAAGCGTGTCACTCTTATTATATGCAGATTTGGTGTTACAAAGTGTGCTTTCTGCAAATGTTGTCTTTTCATTGCCAAGGCCTTTTTGTGAGGGCGTAATCATCACACTATGATGCTTCAAGAACTTTCTCACTGTGGAGAACGCCACCTACTTAAGCGAAACATGTCGTAGCATCATCAAGAAATGGAAAATTTTCAGAACCTTGTTGAACATAGGCGGTCTTGTGTGATTTAGGAAGTTGTGGTTGCATATCTTAATTGTTCGGCACGATTCGGTACGTCATACTTACGGCATAATCTTGCTATCTAGGGTTAGCATGAAATGTCCAAAAGCATTGTGGATCTTTTCAGTGCCATTCTAGCACTTCGAACGAGTTTTCCGAATCGTTTCAAGAGAATCGTCCCTCCGATTAATATGAGCGAGCACCCGACTTGATACACCGCTGAATATTGAGTCACCCTGTCACTAAGCATGCAGTATTTTGATTTTTCAACAGTGAAAATGTATAATTAACAACTGCTAACAAACATTTAATACAGTGCTCACATTAATGACAGATAAATACATCAAGAAGCAAAGTACACAGAACCCGAGTAAATTATTTCTCCGCCTCACAAATCATATGGTTGCTTTCCGGTGAACTTGACCTCGATGGGGCTCACGTTCTTCCCGATTGACCTGAAGTTCACGCCGACCCCTTGACGGCCCGGGTTCACCTTCTCTGGGTAGACACCGTCCTTGGGGTGCAAGTACTGGACTTCACCATTAGGGAAGACCCGGTAGAATTGGTAATTGATCTTGTACTTCGACCTCAGTCGGGTTCCGAGCGCCAAGCACTGCTCCTTCCTAGCTAGCTTGAGCAAGTTCGGGCCTTGCCTCATGATCGCCGCCCCTCCGGTCGGCATCTCGAAGATCTGCTCCTTCGGCGAGTCCCAGGTGATCACGTAGAACTCTTCGACCTGACATACCCGATGTATCATATATCATTTCTGAATAATCGGCACAACAGACTCAATTCATCAACTACTCCAAAAAAAATTGTACATAAATCCTCGGTCCGGCCAAGTCTACCTTATATGATGCCCTGAAGAGAGACAATACACGATGGGTTTGTGAATAGTACTTGGTATAGTTAAAACGCGATTATTCATGTTGAACTGTCAGCATCATGATTAATAAAATGGACATTTAAGTATAAATTCAATTGGTTCAATGATTAATTAGTCTATAAATATAATATCATACTCGTCTAGAATCAAGTCGTGCCACTATGTCAATGTCCATATAAAAAATATCTGGCGGCTGCTATTGTTACCTGAGCCTTGCGCAGTAGCCCGCCAGTGCTGCCGCCGAAGATCGGGGATGGGGTGTTGGGGTCCAACTCGGGCGGCGTGAACCCGACGGGTGCCGCCTTGGCCGGGGCCTCAGCCTTGCCCTCCGCGGCCGCCGCCCTGATGGCGGTCCTTGGCGTGGACTTGGCAGCGGCCTTGGGAGTGGCGGCGAAGGCCAGGGTGGGCGCCGATTGCTTCCAGGGTGCGACCACGCGGTCGGCACCAGACTTCGGGGTGGCAAGGGCCGGGGTGAAGAGGGAAGCTTGAGTTGCCATGGCCATGGAGGACTAAACACAAAAAATAATAGCAAGGCCTCGAAGTTATGGAGAGGAAGACAGAGATGAAGAGTTGAGTGATTTTTATGGAATTTGTGGGAGATAGAGAATGAGATCAAGGTTGGGGGCTTATGTGGAAGGATGGATGGTGTGCGGAACTGGATGTGGATAAGGTGGAGATATGTGTTGGGCCAATGAGGAGAGGTGATTTTGATACGTTCCGGTCCCGCGACACTTCACAAACTTTTCTTTTCTTCCTTTTTTTTTTCCCCTCTCAAGAAAGATTTATATATATAATATATAATATAATCTACAACGTTAAGATTTTTTTTTGAATTAATATCACAAAAAATCTCAAACTGATACATCTATGATAAAATTTACCATCAAACTAATACCTCAAACTGGTACACTTACGATAAATTTACCCACCGTTAAATTTTACTGTCAAATTTCCAAGTAATATGATACGCGACAGTTGATAGATGTATCAGTTTATGGTTTTGCTCTCCTTTTGTCATATGTGTATTAGTTTGTGATTTTCTTTGCATTTGTCCAATTTAACGAGGGTAATTTTGTCACAAATGCACTGGTTTAGGGTTTTTGGTGGTCAAAAAATTAGTTTGAGATAAATTTATCATAGGTGTACCAGTTTGGAGTTTTTGGTGGTCTAAAAATTAGTTTGCAGTAAATTTGTCACAGATGCATAAGTTTTGAGTTTTTCGTGATATTAACTTTTTTTTTCCTTTGGGTAAAGAGAAAATTAAGGACAGCCAAATTAAGACAAGTAATCAGTGAATTTAAATATGTCTAGGTCACTAAAAATGATGGATTGCACGTGAATCTCCCCTGATTTTATGATTAAGACGTATTACAATCCATTTATTAGATTTATTTAATATCTTTCCCACGAAGCTGTCGTTGTAGATCTACCATCCTAATTAAATCATGCTACATAATTTTTTGGGAAAATTACCTAAAAAGTCCTAAACCTTTTGTAATTGTGCCAATTTAGTCATAAACCTTTTTTTTTACCAATTCAGTCCTAAACCTTTTGCAATTGTGCCAATTCAGTCCATTCGGCCACTTTTGACCGGCCGATGCTGTCAGTGTCGGCGACGTGACAATATTTTAATATTTTTTTTATTTTTTTCGAATTTTTTTCCTTTCTCTTTTTTTTTTTCTTTCCTTCTTCCCCCTAGTTGGTCCGGCGATGTAACCTCGCCGGCCATTGCGAGGCTCGCCCGGCCTCCGGCGAGGCGGAGCTCGCCATGGGGCGTGAGCTCGACCTGCGAGGGCGAGCCTTGCCATGGCCGTGCGAGCCGACGGCGAGGCTGAGGACCTCGCGCCTCGCCATGGGCCGGGCGAGGCTCGAGCTCGCCTAGTGGCGGCGAGGGTGGCTCGCCATGGATGGGCGAGCTCGAGCTTGCACAGATCAGGTGAGGTCGAGCCTGCCCAGCCATGGCGAGCTCTGCCCTTGCCGTAGCTGGGCGAGGCTCGCCCTCGCCAGTGTCGGTGAGGGCGAGCCTCCCTAGTGGCCTGCGAGGTCACCTCGCCGGCGAGCCTCCCCCTGGCCGTTCCGGCCAGGGTGAAGAAGGAAAAGAAAAGAAAAAGAGAAAGGAAAAAAAATTCCACAAAAAAATATTAAAATATTGCCACGTCGTCGGCCGGCGGCCTCGTTAGCGCTGGCCGGCATCCATGTCAGCGTCGCCTGGCCAAAGTGGCCGAATGGACTGAATTGGCGCAATTGCAAAAAGTTTAGGATTGAATTGGCAACAAAAAAAAGTTTTATGACTGAATTGACACAATTACAAAAGGTTTAGGACTTTTTGGGTAATTTTCCCGAATTTTTTATTTGGCCCAAAAGAATAAAATGCTTTTACAGTCTATGTATTGGCTATGCTATAACTGTGGATGACCCGCATATTTCCTTAACCTTAAGTATAGATATGTGCAATTTTAACCTAAGTTTTTAACATGCATGAATTATTAAACTGATGGCATGTGACATGGATGACCTAATAATTTAAACGACAGGCAATATTATGGACTAACCTAGCATGGCATGCAATCTAATTTATATGAATCTAAATATTAAATCACTGAATGACATGGGAACTATAATGTGAAAATATGATGACATGAAAATAATGACGCGCGAATGACAATGATGTGGTAACGATAACATGGCAATGATAACGCAGCAAGTGATGACATGGTCATAATGACATAGAATCGATACAACTAATTCTATATGATATATGCACGTTATTTTTGTGATTTTTTTATTAAGATTAAAAATAGGAAACGACCTAGAATACGAGATTACCTAATTTAAATTAGGAAATAATTTGAATTAAGAGGGGGTGCTTTTTCCACGCCTGTTTTCGCTTATCCACGCTGTGTGACAGTGTGTTGACCATATTGCCCCTTCTTCTGTGACTAAGGAATACATTGAACATATAGTTTAGAGACTACATTGAGCATGTCAAAAGTTTAGGGTCATATTGAACATTGAGTGCGGATTGCAGAGTTGTACGCCCTGTATGCCTTGCGTGCCGTGTCCTTAAGCTACGAGACTGAGAAAAAAGAAAGAGATAAAAGAAAGGGTTAATACTACGAAAAACCTCAAACTGGTATACCTGTGATAATTTTACTTCAAACTAATTTTTTGACCACCGAAAATCCCAAACTGGCACACCTATGACAATTTTACCCTATGTTAGTTTCCCTTAAATTTTACTGTTAAATTATTTTGTTAAATTTTATTATGTGAGATTTTGTGGGATCTCTGCCAACTTTTCTAAAAGTTTAAGCTATCAGATGAATGTGTGGTTTTATATTTAAATATTTTATCTCTCCCCCTCATGCTTAGTTTGGTCTTTGTGCTTAGTACTAGGCGTGCACATATTTAATTGGAAAGGCAAATGGAACCAGGAATAATTTGAACTCAGGACTTCCTACTTTGGTACCATATTTTATTTGTAATCACACACACACACGAAGAAAGAGAAAAAGATTTAACGTGCTTCGGTCAACCAAGAAGACGACCCTTGGAAGCCTACGTCCACGATGGGAAACTCTAATTTAGCATATCACCTTGGGGGATTTCATTTTCTTTAAATAAGATAGAATACATCTCTTGGGATAAACATGAATATCTATTGGAAAGGTAAATACATATTTTATTTCCTTATTTAACGATTTGAGCTAGATCTTTTACTAAATTTAGACACTGCTGACCAGTCGTCCTTATTTTTCTAGCATAGTCAAGACAAAATCCTACGAATGGGGCTACCATAAATGTTCATGATGGACAGAGAATGTTCATTATAAATTACATCAAAAGGTTCTACACCAAACATCACTAATTATCATAACACTTCATAGCAATGAAATCCCTAAGTCAATTCACGCTTGTCCTTTTCCTGTTCCTTTCCCTCATATCCTCTCTTCCACCCTCACAGGCCAACAAGTTTACCAACTTCATAGGTGAAATATACGACACCCGCAATATCTACATCGTCAATGACTTGCCTAGTGACTTCGTTCTCCATTGCGTATCTTCGGATGACGATCTTAGGGCCCGGACCCTACAACCGACTCAGAAGCAAAAGATCCGTTTTCGGATTCATTGGTTCAAGCAGACCATCTTCGCCTGCTCTGCCCAGTGGCAGGAGCGGTTCAAGGAGTTCGTCGTGTTCAGGACGGATCGGGATAGATTCCATTGTAATCCCTTTTGCTTTTGGTCTGTGCGGGAGGATGGGTTTTATGTTAGATCATATGGCTCCGCCACGTATGAGCGTTATTATACGTGGTAATAAACCATGCCATCATGTGTGATTGAAAATTGTATTGGCTGCACAAAATATTTTGGAATAAAGCAGACATGGCTCTTTTATGTTTTTGGTCTTTCGCTCTTGCTTTCCATTAATGGTATTGTCATTGTGATGACCCCGTTTTCTGATTGTGGAGCGCTCTCATATTACAATCAAATCGAGGACTGTATTCACCAGAAAGGAAAATCAAGGACTGGGTTCACTGAGGTTGAATTAGATTTGTCGAGAAGCCAAACATAAGACACTAAATAAAGTCGCAAATAATTTTTTTATGTACCTTCAGAGTAATATTTCGTGGTGCCTCAAGTCATTAAAAAATCAACAACTCGTCTTGATGGTTTTTTTTCCGAAATTGATAATTATGATTACACTTGAAATGCAAAAGAATGTTATTTAAAGATTATTCGATACTTGTTCACATTGTTATGGACAAAAGTTGAAGGCGCTTTCATGTCATGCCACTGGAGTAGAGTTCTCGTTTCTCCTCTAAGCTATATGTTATGAAAAGACTAGTGCGATCACATCTCATCGTGTACAACGAACTTCTTCTCCCCTCTTTGTGTAATTAAATACGTACAATAAACACTACAACAATATAACAATCAATCGAGCAATGCAAAATCTATATAGAAGGGATTTAAGGTGGAAGCCCAAGCTAGGAAAATACCACGGACCAAACTCTCTAAAAGCTTCCACTCCGCAAAATGGAATTACAATAGGTCTTCCCTACTCCCACCAATGGTTATCCAATATGTTATATGTTGGATATTTCCACGGTTTTTAATTATTCAAAGCAATTGTTTTGTAACGGTTTTAATGGAAAGTATGGCTGCAATCAATTTGTAACGGATTTATAATGCTTGATTTGATTTATTTCTTTATTAACCCCTCTTCTTTATTTGTCTATAAAGAGAATCTCCAAATCTTAATAAAAACATACCAAAAACAAGAAATTCTCTCTGTTCTTTTCATTTATTTGTTGGGTTTTACATATAAAGATGTTGTTTCTATTCCCTCTATTATTCTATGTGGAGTAAAGAGGAAGATATGTTGTATATGTTGGATATATGCCCTAAAGCGACCATGTAATAGTTGCATGACAAGGATTTTAGTTGTACTATTTAACGGCAAAAACGTATTCATTCATTGACCATTATATATATGAATGATTCTATAAGGTCAGTTATGACTGGACCTATTCTTAAGGTGTTAAGAATATGTGTGGTAGGTTTACATGTAGACTGAATTTTAAAACAGTTCCCACTCGATGAA